TTCTTGTAGGCGGGACCTTGGCCAAATGTTGGATTAGCTCTTTTGGCCTCTGGGCAGTTTTTTACAAAATGCCCAGGCTTCTTGCAGAAATAGCAAGGTCCCGAAGGGAATGCTGCAGCAGGCATCACAGCCATAGGGGTATTCTGTGAATTCAGGTGTAGCGCAGTTAGGATTTCAGTGAGCTTTTGATCTCGTGCCTCTGCTTGAGCCGCGATTACTGCAGCTTGTGATGTTTGTGCTAAAAGAGCTTTTTCCAGCTTCTCCCCTAAGGTTCTCCCCAATTCAGTTGCTTGAATTGCTGCTACATGTTGTGGACTTCCTATTTTGTTACAAGCGTCTATCATTTCTGGCACTGTTGGCTTTTCTTTTCCCAGGGCTTTGATCACCTTCTTACATTCGGCATTAGCATTATTTTCGATAATGTCCCGTATCATAATTGGACGGGCTATATCATCACCACACTGGCGTTCAGCAGCTTGAATTACACGATCCACAAATGTTGTGAATGGCCCAGAGGCTTCTTGGCTAATAAGGTTATAAGCTTTTTCAAAAGTTCCAGCAGGCTGAATTTGCAAGAAGGCTCGCCGTGCCATTTTTTTGATGTCATCTAATGCTACCCTAGGCAGGTTTATCTGATTTTCATTTCGGTCATCTGGAGGTTCACCTGTGAGCTTTGACAGGGTGAGAGCACGCAAATCTGGATCATTACTACGTCTATAATTGTCCAATACATTTCTGAGTAGTCTCTTCCATTTCAATTCCCATAGCATAAATTGCGAATCTGTAAGGGTGATGCTAGCAAGGTTTTTGCAGTCATTGGGTGTGAGAGTATGCTCTTCTAGTGTACTTTTCAGCAGTTGTTTAAAATATGGAGAGCAAATGCCACTGTCCTTTATCACTTTTCGCAGTTCTTTTATCTCCTGGGGTGGAATAGCTGTCCATGTTCTTGGACCGCCCGCCTGCTGACTAAATAACACCGGCATTGCTAGGGGGTTGATGTTTTCTTCTTTGCAAATTTGTCTTTTGACTTCCAGCCAGTTTGTAAGTTGGCTATCATCATAACATTCTTGGGAATTTATGTGTAGTGGAGCTTCGAATTTTACAATCTCACTTTGAAGTGGTAAAGTCAGGGGATTAGCTGTTGCATGCATAGAATAGTTCACTGTCTCTCCTGTATTTATTAATGCAGATACTGTGTTAGAAATTCCCCCTTCCTTTTGTACCTTTTGTGTAGCCAGGTGTAGCGGCGGCCTTGTAGTTGTAGTGTCGGCTGACAGTAGCTGCGATAGGGGACGGTCAGGGGGCAGAACGGGATGCTGCACTTGCGGATAAGCCTCTGGGAGCTGCGGCACGGCCGGGGGCAGGGAAGCAGGTTTCAGTTGTTCGCAGTTATAATGCGCGGGGGCATCTGACAGCGAAGCGGCAGTTCTTGGTGATATTACAGCCGGGTCTGGTAGAGGATCGGGGGAATACACAGGACCAGACGCTGGCGGGAGTAGCGCGGTGTTTTGTGACCGTGTGGAAACCTGTGGTTGACACTGCGTTTGTGTAAGTTCCGGTCCAGGGTCGGTGGTGGCCGCCCTCGTGGCAGACAGAACCGGGACCTGCTGCGGCTCGGGACCGCGTGGCCAGAGAGAAACAGCAGAAGGAGCTGAGGGGGCCGGGGTGGACCGGGCAGCGGAGGCTGGAACGTCTGCGGGTCGCGGCAAAACGGGAGGCGGAGAAAAATGAAACAACGAGATGTTCGAGGCAGCAGTGGTCTGTGTCGGCTCAGGGGCCGAGGTGTGACCCGCTGCTGCCGGCGGGGCTGACTCCGCGGTGACAGGAGGTAGTGGAAGAGTTAAGGAAGAGGCTGCAGTGTGGTTTTGTAGCGCAGATAGAATATAAGCGGTAGCCGCGATGACGGCCGCAGGGTGCAGCGGGGGAGGAGCGGGAGATTCTCCGGTGGGGAGGAGGGGTGGTGGAGTTGAGGCGACAGCACCGACGGGGGGAGGAGCCACGATGACATCGCTGGGCGGAGGCGCAGGGGCGGAGTCAAGGGGCGGGGTCGCACCGGTGACGGGAGCGGGAGGGGCGGGGTGCACCGCGAGGGCAGAGCCGGGGGTGGGCAGCGCGGGGGTTGTGACAGCGGAGACGGGGTTTCTTGAGGGAGCGGGGAGCTCGCCGCTTGCCACACTGGGGGCGGGAACAGTATCGGGAGGGGGAGGGGGAGCAGGGGCGGGGGCCGCAGGGTCTGCCGAGGGGGATGGGGTCACCGGAACAGATTGCGAAATCACGGGGGCTGGGGGGGGTGGGGAAGGG